GAGTAATAGTAGGAATAAAACTACTGTAAACTTGTCTGTACAAACTTGTCTACTGATGACAGTATAGGTTACAACAAAAACAGGTTTAAATGTCCAGTTCTAGATGTTACAGTGCAGGCACGCAAAGGTGTTGCATGCTTCAGCAGCGCTGCTCGTCATTAATGTATAAAACTTTTGTAGCTGTCCCTGAAAGAAGACAAAGAGGTAACTTCATGATACATATCTGTGGTGCTGATTTAAAACACATTTTACCTGAAACATTGGCAAGCAAATGTAAAAATTGCTCTGATAATGCGAGGTTATTTATGTGACTTAAAAAGCGTTTGCTTATCCACCTTTGTTCTCTCAACAGCACCAAGAACATAAGCTAATCACTAGAGAATATTAGCTTATTTTAGCTTTTTAGCTAATTCTAGCCACAAGTCAGGTGATACATCACTTGTTGGCAGCCAAGGAGCTGATGTACTTTATTAGTTTCCTATTTTGGTTGAATTCAGCGTCACTGTGTGTTTATAGTACAGCACAGTTCCACTGAGCAACAATGATGTTGGAGGTAAATGTCTATAAATATCTACCTGACTGTCATTATTTCTGTAGGAAATAGGGATGAGTAAAGCTACCATGGTGATAAAAACTAATATTTGACTGAATGGGACTTTAATCCAGTGACTGAGTCCACATCCCTCTGACAGAAATGAACATTAAACTTATTTCTGTAACCTGGTTGTTTTCTTAGCCAGTTTTTGTCTCTGATGCAGATTGTTTGGGGTTTTTTGTTGTTGTTTTTTTATGTTTTTTGAAGAAACTGCTTTTCAGATACATTTTTTTTCTGTGCACTCTGGCATTCTTCCTGCTGCTGCCATTTAATGGCATGCCGTTGGGCAAAAGTGTGCCACTTTCAGCAGCAGTGAGGGCGACCTGTCATGTCATATGTTTAGTCCACCAATGATTTCTCAAGTTTCATAGGATCTTCTCACTCTCCTGTTAGTTCTACGATATTTATGTTTTCTCTGCACTTTCAACACTGGCTGAACTGATGGTTACACACTCACTCATCCTTTATGTATGAGCAATGAACGTGTAAGGAAAGAAAAACAAGATTTGGAAGCACTGTGTTGCTTGGATTATATTTTTATTGTCTATTATTATATTACTATTGGCCTATGAATGTGTAAGCATTTGCGCTATAGTGGGCTTCAAGTAGCAGTGCTGAAAAGATGGACGATGGATACCTTGCAATTCTACCCCACCGGAAATGCAGATGTTGTAATGTTTCCAATTTAAGAGAATATGAACGCTTCTTGTTTGTTATTCCCACTCCCTGCCAGTTGGTGGCGGTAAAGCACCATTTCGTTTTAGCCATCAAAAAGAACA